AAACTGAATCATCAATCTTGAATATTGAATCATCCGTGTCAGGTATAAACATTAAGATAGTTATTTTATTAAATAATAAAATTATAAATTTTATAGTTGAAGAACCTGAGTTAGTAGTTAAAACAACGCGAACGCCAACTAAATCGTTAGAAGATATAAGTATTTTAATGCCGAAAAAAATGTGTACTGAAACTGAATCATCAATCTTGAATATTGAATCATCCGTGTCAGGTATTAATTTTAAATATACATATTATTTATAGATTTGTGATTAGGTAGATAGCTGTGTATTTTTTATTCATTTTTTTTTTTTTATTAAGTTTAGTGGTATGATTTTTTTTGTAGTTTTAATAATTGAAATAGTTTATATTAAAAAGTTTAACTATTGTCTAACAGTAGGTATCTATTAAATAAAAATTACATTGACAAAATTAATTTGTGTAACAAAAAGTATTTTATTCAAATACTAGTCAATGACTGTTCATAACATCATAATAGTAGGTAAGTACCTATAGTTCTCATTTAGGGTCTCTGGGAGAAAAAGTTATGGGCAGTTCATTTTACATTTTTACTTAAAAAAAACTCTAAATTAAAAAAAGCATGATTAACAATACACACCTATTTTATTAGTTAAAGTTTCTTATTGTTATTTGATTATTTATTTTTTTTTTAATGTATATATTTTTGTTTTTATCATAGATAAGACCACAGTAATGTTTGATAATGATCCTGGTAAATGGCCAAAGTTGATACCCAGCGGTTTAAAAGGTTATTTCTTAAATCTTGGTGTTAGTCAGCCTTCCCCTATGGAGTTGAGTAACTGGCAGTTTCCAAAAACAAATGACTCTCATGGCAGTGTACGTTGTTTTCATGAAAAATATTATTTTAAAACACAGCCATGTGGTGAAATTATCAAACGTTCGTGGCTATCATACTCATCATCTCTTGACAAAGTATTTTGTACTACCTGTAAAATATTTGGTTTGCCAAAAGCTCAAAAACTTACAATTGCCTCAGTTGGAACTGTAGATTATAGAAATATAAAAATAAATATTGAAAACCATGAAAGCTGCAATGATCATATTCAATCTGTTTTAAGTAGAGCATTGTATGAAAGTCATAATCGTATTGATGCACAAATTATCCAAGGTTCTAATATACAAATTTCTGAAAATAGGGAAATACTTAGGGTTATTATTGATTCTCTAATATTTATGGCTCGACAGAATATTGCACTGCGAGGTCATGATGAATCATCATTTTCAACCAATCAAGGAAACTTTTTAGAATTAATTAAAATGTTTGCCAAGTATCATCCAACGTTACAGCACCATTTAAATACAATTGAACAGCACAAACGAAATCGACTTACTTTCTTATCACACGATACCCAAAACAAACTATTAAGTATATTATCAAATATTGTTCGTTCAACAATTTTGAGTGAAGTTAAAAAAGCTGGTATATTTTCTGTAATAATTGATACCACTACTGACGTATCAAAATTAGAGCAATTTTGCTTAGTTATTAGATATGTTTTTGATGGAGAAATCTATGAACGTCTTCTAGCTCTAACAACTACCCAAGATGCAACTGGATTTGGCATGTTTCAGGTTTTTTGTAATATAACTGAAAATAATAATTTGAACTGGAAAGAACATCTTTGTGCTCAAGGATATGATGGCGCTGCATCAATGCAAGGAGTGTATTCCGGTTTGAGGACACATATACAAAACCATAACCCACGAGCAATTTATGTTTGGTGCTTTGCACATGTACTTAATTGAGTCATTGTAGACACTTGTGACATATGTTTAGAAACAAGGAACTTTTTCGGCGATTTACAGGCATTAAATTAATAAATGAAAGCTCGCAAAAGAACCGCAAAATTTGTAGAATTACAAAACAAGAACTATCCAAATAAACCTATACGCCGTCTTAAACATTTTTCGACAACTAGGTGGACTTCTCATGATAGAGCATTAACTGTAATATTTGAAAAATATAAAGCATTAGTACAAACATTACAATTTTTGCAAACTTCTGATGATTCTGACCGTGACTCATTGTCAAAAGCAAAAGGTTTAGAAACAGCTATAAACTCTTATATGTTTGTTATTACAATGATTTTTATACAAAATATATTTTCAATTACTTCTCCATTGTCTAAATATCTTCAGTCTAAGAACTTAGATTTTATACAAGCATTAGCACTAGTCGATGATTCCAGAAAAAGGTTGCAAAGTCTTAGAACAGATGAAGAATATTTGAAATTAGTTGACGAAACCAAATTGTTTGTGAATAAAAATAATGTACGTGAGACAGAGTTTAAAGTTCTCCGACCCAGACGGCGGAAAGTTATGCCAGGAGAACTTATTGTGGATGAAGTATGTTTATCACCTACTGACCGTTATAAAACTGAAGTATACTTTATTGTCCTTGATGCTATTATAATGTCCATTTCTATGAGATTCGACCAGTCAAGAGAAATATTAAAAGACTTATGTCTATTATCTCCTCAACGAATATTGAAGTATAGTAATGGTATAAACAAGACATTACCAAAGGATGCATTTAATGAAATTGAGGATTGGTTACCTGGAATTACTATAAACGATTTAAAAAATAAATATTTAACTTTGAGTTCATCATTAAAGGGTTTACTTGATAGCTGTCCAACGCTGCCAAAGCAATTGCATAAGAATATTTCTAAGGAACAAAATGAATGCTCTGAAAGTTCGACCGATAGTGACGGTGAAGAAAATACATCAATTACATCACAACAAATTATTAAAGTTTTATCTAACTACAATTTGAGTCAAACTTTCCCCAATTTATACTTGGCTTACAAAGGTTTACTGACAATACCTGCCTCATCTGCATCTGCAGAGAGAGCATTTTCAAAGGTAATCTTGCGTTTCTAACATAATTATTTATTTTGTTTTATTTTTTATCAAAAATAGTTTGAACTTGGAAGTTATAGTTTTTCATAGTTTCATCGTTTCATGTACATTTTATTACAGGTTAAATTAATCAAGACTAGACTACGTTCAACCATTGGACAAGATCGATTGGAAAGTTTGATGATTCTTAGCTGCGAAAGAGATATAAGTATCAATTATGAAGAAGCAATTAATGTGTATGCTATGTCGTCAGATTTATTAAGAGATAAGCTGATATTTAAATAAATGTGATTATGCCACTTCTGCAGTTTTAAAAAATAATTGTATACATGTATCTATAAAATTAAATTATACATTAATATGTATTATGTACCTACATGAAAGAAACATGTATATTTATATATTTATTATGTAATTATAATTAATTAATAAATAATAATATGTGAAATTATTGAGATTTTATAGTTGCCTATATGATTTTCAGAAAAAAATTTAATCGGGGGGGGGGGGGGGCAATGAGGGGGGGGTGGTCAAAATGTTTAAAATATACAATATGCTTCAAAGACTAAAAAAGTTCACGCCGCCACTGGCGCTCACGACAATAATATTATGTTATAAACATAGATACACCTACACTTATAATAACATCTCCATCTGTCCACCGCTGTACTCTATCTTCATTTGCTTTCCCTTCAAAAATTGGATACCTGAGCGCGAAAACAATACTAATTGATAATTATACAATTGTTACAGATTGGTAAAATACAAATTTTAATTGTTATAATTATAATGTATAAAAAGTAAAGGCCTAGTATTGATAAATGACTTTTGCAGAAATTCATTTTAACTAAATAGTTTATAATATTGCACAATTCGCATTTAGCTTACCCATATGAGGTTTCCCTACGAAAGTCGAAGGAGAATACCATCTCAGTTCACGTCTATGAACATTATATTATATAAATCTAATTATAAAATGGTTAGGTATCAAAATAAATACATAAATACATATATATATATATATATATACATATATACTTATAGTTACATTTTGTAAGCGTGCATTATTTAATTATAATAACGAGTCTCCTCATGACAACGACGACAAATGCAACAATCTCGGCGTATCATAATTTATAATAATTTTTAATATTATATTATAATATAAATACTATGTATGTTTATATAATTATAATATGAATAAGATGGTTCGCATAAATCAGATAAACGCGCTGTATCACGAAGTGTATTTTTTTTGCTCGCGCGGGGCGGTGAGGTTTTCGACCTCATTTGCATCTTGACGATAATAATTATTTAAGGCAAACACTCTCACATGGATATTATAGGTAGTAGGTACGCTATACTGCACGTCAATGAATGTACGCGTGCGCGCCTGTGTGTGTGTGTTAATAAACATTGGATCGTGTGCGTGACGAAAACATAATTTTTCAATATAAAATAATAATAACAAGAAACCCATACTATATAGTCTACATCTAAAACGTGTGTTTGTTTTGTACCCGTTCTCGGGGTAAATCGTTAAATAAATAATGATAATAACAGGTTTTCGATAGGGTTTAATACTTAAAATGTAGGTTCATTATTCAAAGACTAGTGTATAATATAATACTATAATAATATAATCGGCATACTTAATGGCACTAAACCAGCAACGCTTTTTTTGGATATTGTATATTATTAATACCTTACTACCTTAGGTTATTAGGTTACGTATACTATCGAAATAAACAAAATCCTGCGTATAAATGTATAATGTTCGCAAAAGAATCGATTGGTTGTGGTCTTCATTGATAGCAGTTTAAATATAATAGGTATGGTAAATCACTTGATCGCTAAACAATATTATATATTATCGATCGTATTAGTTTTCTCCGAATAAAATGCTCAGCCCTGTTCGCTTATTTTCGTATTTTTATTTATTTACTTATTTTTTTTTTTTTTTTTTGTAACTTAATTGAGACTATATTTTATACGCGCTGTTATCGCAAGCACGCCCCCGGTAATGGTATCGCTTTTATATTTTCTCGAGTTCAATTTAAAGCTATATTAAAATAATATATATACAACTACAGTATAATACGTATTGAGTTCTTTCAACTGCCGCTTCGAAGCTAAACGAAACGTCGTCGACGGAGTGCGATTATATCGTGATTACTCCGAAATTGATTATTATTTGGGCGTAAACGGTTTTCACGCGCCGTCGCGTGTTGCCTTGTTATTTGCGAAAATTATTATGATTTCGTCTGAGTATCGTGATCGATACAATAATATTGTAACTTCTATGTAATATCGTTCCCTTTATCTGTTGCAACTTTCATGTCACATACCTATATGTCCTAAAAGCGGAAGTGAATTTTCGAGCTCAGCAAACATAATAATAGTAGGTACCAATACGGCAATGCGTTTAAAGTTGATACTGCAGCACTGAATTCTAAAACTACATAAAAAAAAGTTTGCAATACCAAAATCCAAGATGAAACACAAGCATACACTATCTTTTTCAAACTATGTGTATTTATAGATGGTTGCCTAAGGTAGGTAAATACAGCAATAACTCTAATAATGAGTAATTAATATTTTACGATTGTTACTCTATATTATTTTCGGTTAAAAACTAGGATTTAATTTTGAGTTCTTCACAGTTTCAAATTTGTGTTGTTATTAGAACCGGTGTAACATATTTGAACTTAACTTCAAATTTTCAAAAACTTAAAAATAAAAGTGTACCTAATTTAAATTTTTATGAATGTAAATTTAATATTCAAAGAAGTATCCACAGAAAAAACAAATAACTGTATCTTTTTGGTTCAATTTCAGTTCTTATGAAACAAACACATCACAAATCATCAAATATTTTAATTTTTATTTCTAATACCGATTTTATTTTTGTCTCAATTTTTTTTAATTAGTCAAGTTGACATGTTTAATTCAAATATTATATAATATTAGATATTATAACGAGGTAATATTATCTCTATTTACTATATTATATAATATACTACAAAATGTGTGGGGTGCGGATATCAGTACATTATTATTTTCTACCTTCGCGCCATGCTGCCGGTTTAAAACAACGATAATAATAATAATATATTATTGTAATTTCATTGTAGTCACGACGACGACAGACTGACTGTTATACTATCGACCGATCGGCAATCAATTAGCCACAGCCACTGTGCACACGGCGTCGTTTAATTAAACTCACTGGGAACTGGGAGCAGGTACCTACCATACATTATTATACGTATTGTGTATAATACCTGCATTTGGATACCCCGTATATTATTATGTGTACACGGCAGTGGCAGCGGTGACAATGATCATTAGTTTGGTGGGTTTTCGATGCTGCTGTTTTGCGTCTGCTGATGCTGTTCCACAGGTAAAATATAATAATTGATTACCTACACGATACCGGTGTTGTGTCTCGAGTGTGAGTGCGTGTGTTTACGGATCGTGTTTGTGTGCGGTAGACGGGCGTGGGCATTTTCGATTTGAATAATTCAAAGGTATAATAATAATAATAATAATAATATAAATCCGATAGAAAACGACTCGATGTGCGTCTCTCGCGGATCAGCTATACGTTACCTATATACAGTATACACTGTTTAAACGACTATCGTTATAATATGAATCAGTATTGTTACAAACGAATTATATATATAGGTGTGTCGTAGGTATATATATGTGTGTGATATCTTCATTAGTCGTCACCGGACGTTTGACCGTATCGGTCCCGTCATCATTCGCGGTGGAGGTCTTCCTGACAACTAGTCGTGTGCTATTAACGGTATAAAATATAAATACATTTATAAGCGTTTTTCTACATGGTTCGTGCATATAGATAATATGTATATATTGTATTGTACACATTTTCTGAACTGCACGAATGGTGAAAAGTTTCGTTTCAGAGATCTTATAATATACGTGAACCTATTAAAATAATATAATATGATACTATTTTGTCTAAAAAATATAACCTTTAAACCTTGTAGTGCTAAGAGGATGCCACACCCGCATATTAAATTGTTTTCATCTGACAAACATATACCTACTATTGTGAATTCGTAGAACCTAACTTATATTCTTACTCATTTGTTACTTAGAGTGAATTGACCTATTTCCAAATTTAATATTAAAAATAACACTCATAACTTATATAAACATTTAAATATCATAAAAACCAACGTGCAAATACAAATAATGTTCTTAACATGTTTTGTTTGATAATACCTAGTAAAGTCAGTATAATATTGAAGCTATAACAGTGAAAGATCGGTTTTGCTTGTCGACTAGATGCAAAGGTTAGGTGTGTATAAGACGGATACACCTCACGTCATACAAGTATGGACGTATGGCATCCTGTCAAAAGTTATTTTATTATTATTTTTTTTTTTTTATATCGATACATTTTTGCATACCTTATAGCAATCATATCGTACATAGTTCTATACATATAAATATACTTTTGTAATACAATACTTATTATAAATTATCAAGATACTTGTTTTGGGGTTAAAATGATTACTTGGTAGATCTCTCATACCGAACCACTAAATCACGGAATTCGGGAATTATATTATTATAACCAATACAACCAAATAATAATAATGTATACGAATTTGAAAACTAAATAAAACACAGTAGCCTATAGCCTGTATAGGTTAACCAGCTGTATGGCTGTATTTTATATGCATATTGCATATCATAGGTTGTGTCTGCGCGTAGAGTATTAGACGACTTTTAATATTGTCAGACCGTCCAGGTCGCGAACACGATTAATCGAACGCTCATCATATATTTTTGAACAGCCATAACGATATCATCGTAAACATCTCTGCGCTCGCCTGTAGCCGTAGTACACCCACATTATAATAATTTAGTGTTAATGTTATAATATATCATCGTACGCGTTTTACGTGCTTAGTGCATTTTTGTGATTATTATTATTATTATTTGCCATCACATATTCACATATCACAATATAACGTATAATACATATAGTTGGTGAGACTTTTATAATTCGCGTTTATTTTATACTGAGCCTGTCAGCCGGGCACGCGATAAGAGGAGAGGCCGTGTTGCCGCCTCGGGACCGAGTTAATTGAATGGGGTATCATCGGCGGCGGTGTTTTGTACTCGTTCCCCTCCGATCGCTCGCGCCATACGACGCGTACGCGAACATTATACACACTCGCAAATGACATTTTTCACCATTCGCCCGTAATCTATAATCAGATATATTATTATTATTATTGTTGTCGTTATATCGCCGTAC